GGAGGCAGTAAGAAAGCGGCATTCAACCGCCAGAAGTGGGGGCTTCCAAATGGCCTACTCTGCATGTGTAGAAAGTGCCTACAAATACTACAGCCCACAAAGAACTTCAAAACACCACACAAATAGCTCAGTGCAAGGGCTGGGGTTCGATCCCAGGGCCTGCCTTGCCCGGGGCCCACTGAGAGGGCAACTGAGACTGGGCGTGGTGGCACACGCCTGTAATTCCAGGTCTTGGGAGGCAGTAAACAGGCAGATCACTACAAGTGTGATCTAGTAGTGAGACCCTGAACAGCCTGTAGACCCTTCCCCAAAATACAAAAAAAAAAAAAAAAAGACACAGATTTAAAACTTCAAAGTAGCCAGGTGGTGAGCCAAATAGCCTCTCAGAGTGAGCGTGCAGGGGCAAAGAGTAGGGGTCTCCAAGGGTCCCTGAGAATATCTCCATGTCTTTACTCTTATTTTGTCTCGGAATCCTCTGGGTGCACATGGTATAAGGAACTGACCTCCTTCAGCCTCTGGGTTTCAACGGTAAAAAGGCATGGAGCTAGGGAGACAGCTCAGTGGTCTAAGCGCCTGCTTGACAAGCACAAGGACCCAGGTTCAATCCCAGGTACCACATGCCGTGCCAGCCCTGGAAGCCTGGGCGCACCATGCCGGCCACTGAAACTGGGCATGGTGCTGCACGCCTGTAATCCTAGTGCTGGGGAGGCTGAGAGGACGATCACTACAAGTCTGAACTATGTAACAAGACCTTGTACTAAATAAATAAAGAAAATGATTTGTTATAAAATGTACCAACTTTGTCTTCAAAAGTGGTAGGATGGTACCTAGCAAGCCCTCATGCGACTACAGGAGCTAAGGGATTCATACAAAGCAGCAGCATCATGGGCAGCACATACTATGGCCTTAACAAATGGCCACGAGAACTGGAATTGATTATGTTCTCTAAGGCAAAAGCCAATATCCTCCCTCCCTGCAGTTAACTGCAAGCCGCAGTCTTAGCCGAAATCAAGCTGCAGGAATAACTCTCCCTGAAGTTCACTGGACTTTCTAATAAAGCACATTCCTTTAAATACATGATAAAATCACATATATTAGTTTTCAGTTAGCAAAGCAATTTCACTTTGAGGCATAATTCTGAGGATACGTTACTGTTACCCATGCCAAAAAAAAAAAAAAAAAAAACCAACGAGGAATCCACAACCAGCATGAGGCAGACTGGCACTGAAACTTCAGATTTTAACATTTTATTATAATGACCATGATTTTCTCAATCAAGCACTGAAATTGGTGTATTTATTACAGAATAAAATAGTTGAACTCAGCCTGATCCAGAAATCACTTCAGCTGCTGCTTGTATTATGCTAATACTTTTAGCTGAAATCAGAAATAAAATCATGAAAGGAGTGTCCTTTTTTAAAGCCTCTTCTCTAGATATTTTATACTATTATTTTAATTTTTATTTTTTTTATTTGGTACAGGGTCTCACTGTGCAGCCTGAACTCATAGTGATCCTCCTGTTTTCAGCCTCCCCAGTGCTGGGGTTACAGGCATGTGCCACCATGCCCGGTCTCAGTGGCCAGGTCAGTGTGCCCAGGGGCAGGGCTTGTGTGGAATGGAGTACTTGGGATCGAACTCTGGTGCCTGCACTTGCTTAAGCAGGTGCTTAGTCCGCTGAGCTATCTTACCAGCCCTTATAAACTATTTTAACTGTGTCAAGTATCAAGAGGAACAGGTCTCTGTAAGATCTCTATCATTTCTTAACCATGGGACCCTCTTTGTTTCTTAACCCCGCCAATTCCAATCACCTCTTCAGCATGATGGGAAAGCAGCATATCCTCAAAGGCTATGTGATGTTCCTGTCCTGAGAAGTTTATCAGGGAACCACGCCACTGCAGCCACCACTTGCTCTGTGGCTTAGCAGACTGGGTGTCTTTTCTTGCTTGTCCCTCTTCCATCTTTCCTATAGCCTCTCTTCACATAAACACCATGGAAAACCCAACCAGCTCCCATCCAACCTTGGCAGGGAATGAAGATAACAAAAGAGCCAGCAGAGACATTATGCAAATACCAAATATTATTAAAACATTAATGAACTCTAGCAATTTCTCTGAATTTTGATAAATGGTGCTTATTATGCACCGCCAGCCTCTCACACAATCTGAGCTCTCAAATATTAACTAGATAATAACAGCAGTCAGTCTCCAGAAAGACCAAGGTATAAAGAAGGAGTCCAGAGAAGTCCAGCTAACACCTGTCTCCAAAGGAATCAGAATCTCTGTCCAAGCAAGAGAGAGAACATCAGGCCAGATCAAAAACCAACAAGGCCACCAGTGGGCTCTGATCAAACCCGCAGCCTAGACAGAACCCTGCTTTGCCAGGATAGTAGTGTTGTGGTCCTGACAGGTCACTGGTTATGACAACTGTCTACCACCCCTGGCTCTTCTTTACAAAACTGTCTCCAAACAAGACAAAATGAAAAGCTCTGCAGATCTGGAGGGACTTCACTCCAAGCGAACACAGCATCTGGGGTTGCTGGCCACCATGCCCACAGCTCCACCCAAAAGGCTGGGACCACATTCCTTGGCCATCTCAGAATGCATCCGAGCTGCTGCCAATCCTCAGGTGCAGCCCAGACAGAAGCAGAACAAAGCCAAAGAGAACTAACACCCCCCCCCAACAACTCCCAGGAATGAGGGCCTGATGCCACCCAGGTGACACCTTAACAACCTGGGGTGGGGGGTCATTAAGACATCTCCTACCCATATTCATGAAAGACTCAAGGTCCTGGCAAGTGAAATAAAGTCTACAAAAAGAGGTTTTGTTTCTTAAACCAAGCAAAAGTCAGCTTTAGAAAAAATAAATCCGCATGGGGACCCTTGCTGTCACCAAACCTTCACTTGCCTGGAGTAGCCAGCACCTCATTAACGGAGTGCTAGGGGACCTGAAAATGAACGCAGCACCACACACAGGCAAGCTCATTTCGCCATCTGTCTTGCAGCCTCCAGAGAGCCAAAGGGCTTCAGTGTCTTTCCTCCATGGTCTCCTGCAGGTGGAAATACCAAGACTTCCCCCCTACTCCACTCCCCCCCCTCAGGGAAAAAGGCTTCTCTTGCAAGGTCAACTGAGTAAAAACGAACAGGAGCGAGTCTAGTTTTACGTGTCAACACAATGCCACCCATGGCACGAAACACATGAGTAAACACTCTTTATATCTGGATGGGGCTTTGCTGATTCAGCGTATCGGATGCAGTGCTTGTGCAGAGGTCCCTGTTGAGCCTCCAACTGCAAGCCCCCACCCACCCCAGTCTCCCATCCCTCTTCAGAGCCTGTGCTATCCTGACTGGTACTGAACCCATTACCTTGTTCTAGCAAGGACCTAGGGCAAGAGGCATGAAAACTGATGAAGCCGCTGTAAGCGCACAATGGTAGGTTTCTGTTCTTTATGACAAAGAGAAAGGCCATGATTAAGCAACTTAAATACCAGCACCGAGGCTTTGCGTGTGTGTCCCTACCCTGGAGACAATCACAGGGTGGATTCTCAGATGCACAAGCCTCCCTCTGAAACCTGGCTCCACCCAGCTGTGGGTTTCAACAGCACTAACAATGCATCTAAATAGGTGAACTGCCAAATAGCTCCATAAAGACCTTTCCCACCTCACAGGCAATCTGGAATACACTTAGGGTGTGTGTGGCAAAAGCTAGGGGAGTGTGCAACCCCAAGTTTCACCACGTTCCATCCAACTTCCTCAACCGTTACTGGACCGATTCAATGCGTTTCACGCACCACTCTGGCTGTGGCAGACAAGAAAACCTAGAGCGAATAAGGTGGCTCGAGGATAGTGCCAGCAACAGCCGGCTGAAAGCCAAGTAGATTGCAGGGAGGAGGCAGCAAAGCCCTGTCTTCCTCGGTGATGGTAAGACGTTTGCAATCGCATTTCCCTCTCCGTGTAAAATTGGCTGACGGTATTTGTAGAGCACGCAGAGACACGCGGCAGCGCAGCTCCACGCTCCAGCCCGGGTCCTGCGGCGAGGCCACCTACCGCATGACAGCCGCGGTTCCACCGGCAGTTCCGCCGCCTGCAGCGGCCACTCATATCCACAACTCAGTAGCAACAATCCCAAGGACAGGACAGGATAGGATGCGGGATGGGGAGGGGGCGTTTGTTTCCCAGGCCCGACTCAATTATTTTCCTTTACACCTCACTCAATGGGCTATCAGGACCCTCAGGGGACGGACTGAGTAGGTGGTGACAGTAGGTACCTCTCCAAGTCAGCGCTGGGACAATTCGCCTAGACGCAGGGGCCAGCGCTGCCCAGTGGCCAGAGCTCAGCGCCAAGTCCTTAGAAATTCCGAGCTCTGCCCCAACGCTGGAGAAGCACCGGAAATGCTTCCCAGAGCTTCGAAGGGGAAGTCGGATTGCAAATCAAAGTTGTAGGAACTCTGGGGCTCCGAAAGTACTTGGGCGGGTTACTCGGGAACACCCAACAAGTTTGGCCACCGGGGCTCGGTGTGACAGCACAACGCCGCGGGACCAGAGAAGCAACTAGTCGCTCTAGCGCCTGAGCAGAGCGCCCCAGGCTGGGGAGGGGACCCCACACCCGGCACTGGGACCCTAGACCCGGGACCGGAAAGGCGCAGGTCCCAGACCCCTCCGAGGAAAGGCGCCTAGGGTCTCACACGCGAAGCGCTGTCGCAGGGGGTCCCCGCACGCTAAGCGTCTCCCCCAGACCCCTCACCTGCACCCCGCGCTGGTAAATTCACGAAGCAGCCAGCGAACGGGCAGAAAAGGGGCGCCCGGGGCCAAGCAGAGTTGGGAGGGCAGCGGGGGCGGCTCGGGCTGAGCGGAGAGAAGGGAAGGGGGAACGCGGGGGTCCCAGCTCGGGCCGGCTCGGGGAAGGCAGCCCCGAGGGAGAGCGCTGCGGACGGCCGCGGGCGCCCCACGCCGCTCCCCACCGCACGCGCGCGCGCACGCACGCCTCCCTCTTCCCCTCCTCACCCAGCATGGAAAAGATGAAATCCTTGGCGGTGTGGATCTCCAGCGCTCGCTGGTCGTCGTACTCCCGCTGGTCGTGCTTGGTGAATTCCTGGATGAGTTTGTTCAGCTCCTCCACCCGGGCTCCCGACCTGAAATCCAGCTCCGGGAAGGCAGGCTTGTTGTTGCAGCCCAGCGCGGCTGCCTTGCTGACGGTGGGAGCCGCCATCTTCCGCTCGCCGCGCCGAGCAGCAGCTCCGCGGCGCCCTCCCGCCCGGCCGGGCCCTCCCCGCCCC